ATCTGCCCTCCCTTCTATCAACCCACCCTTCTCTTAACCCCTTCCCTTTCTATTTTCCTGCAGGGAAGGATGGATTTCTACCCATTGCCTGTATATCTTATTTCCCAGTTGCATGTAAAAACAATTTTTAACATTTGCTTTTAAAACTTTGGGTTCCAAATTCTCTCCCTTCCTCCCTCCCCACCCACCCTCATTGATAGAGACAAGCAACTGGATAAAGGTTATACATGTGTAATCATGCAAAACACTTCCATAATAGCCATGTTGTAAAAAACTAACTATATTTCCCTTAATCCTATCCTGCCCCCCATTTATTCTATTCTCTCCTTTGATCCTGTCCCTCCTCAAAAGTGTTTGGTTCTGATTACCCCCTCCCCCAATCTGTCTTCCCTTCTATCATCCCTCCCTCTCTTATCCCTTTCCTCCCTACTTTACTGTAGGGTAAGATAGATTTCCATACTCAATTGAGTGTGTATGTTATTCCCTCCTTAAGCCAAATCCAATGAAAGTAAGATTCATTCATTCTGTCTCACCTTTCCCCCCTTCCCCTCCATGGTAAAAGCTTTTTCTTCTCTCTTTTATGTGAGATAATTTACCCCATTATACCTCTCCCTTTCTCCTTCTCCCAGGACAATCCTCTCTCACCCCTTAATTTTATTTTTTAGATATCATACCTTCTATTCAAGTCACCCTGTGCCTTCTGTCTATATATATTCCCTCCAACTACCCTGATACTGAGAAAGGTCTCATGAGTTAAAATTTCATCTTTCCATGTAGGAATATAAACAGTTCAACTTTAATAAGTCACTTATGATTTCTCTTTCCTGTTTACCTTTTCATGCTTGAGTCTTGTATTTGAAAGTCAAATTTTCTATTCAGCTCTGGTCTTTTCATCAAGAATACTTGAAAGTCCTCTATTTCACTGTATGTCCATTTTTTCCCCCAAAGGATTATACTCAGTTTTGCTGTATAGGTGATTCTTGGTTTTAATCCTAACTCCTTTGACCTCTGCAATATCATATTCTAAACCCTCTGATCCCTTAATGTAGAAGCTGCTAAATCTTGTGTTATCCTGTTTGTGTTTCCACAATACTTGAATTGTTTCTTTCTGACTGTTTGCAATATTTTCTCCTTGACCTGGAAACTCTGCAATTTGGCTATAATATTCCTAGGAGTTTTCCTTTGGGTATTTCTTTTAGGGGGTGATCAGTGGATCATTTCTATTTCTATTTTACCCTCTGGTTCTAGAATATAAGGGCAGTTTTCCTTGATAATTTCTTGAAAGATGATGTCTAGGCTCTTTTTTTGATCATGGCCTTCAGGTAGTCCAATAATTTTTAAATTCTCTCTCCTGGATCTATTTTCCAGGTCAGTTGTTTTTCCAGTGAGATATTTCACATTGTCTTACATTTTTCATTCTTTTGATTTTGTTTTATAGTTTCTTGATTTCTCATAAAGTCATTAGCTTCTGTTTGCTCCATTCTAATTTTAATTTTTAAGGAAATATTTTCTTCAGTGAGCTTTTGGACTTCCTTTTCCATTTGGGCAATTCTGCTTTTTAAGGCATTCTTCTCCTCATTGGCTTTTTGGACCTCTTTTGCCATTTAGGTTAGTCTATTTTTTTTTTAATGAGGCCGTTAAGTCACCGTTAAGTGACTGGCCCAGGGTCACACAGCTAGTAAGTGTCAAGTGTCTGAGGTTGGATTTGAACTCAAGTCCTCATGACTCCATGGCAGGAGCTCTATCCACTGTACCACCAGCTGCCCCTGAGTCTATTTTTTAAGGTGTTATTTTCTTCAGTATTTTTTTGGGTCTCTTTTAGCAAACTGTTGATTTGTTTTTCATGATTTTCTTGCATCACTCTCATTTCTCTTCCCAGTTTTTCCTCTACTTCTCTTACTTCTCAAAATCCTTTTTGAGCTCCTCCATGACCTGGAACTGATTCATATTTTTCTTGGAGGCTTTGGATGTAGGAGCTTTGACTCTGTTGTCTTCTTCTGGTTGTATGTTTTGATCTTCTTTATCACCAAAGAAAGATTCTGACTTTTTTTTGCGCTGTTTGCTCACTTTCCCAGCCAATTACTTGACTATTAACTCTTTGTTAAGATAGGGGTCTGCTTCCAGTGTGGAGAATGTACTGTCCCAAGCTTCAGAGGTTTTGTGCAACTGTTTTCAGAGATACTTCTAGGGACCTATAAATTTTCAGTTCTTCCAAGGTTCAAGTTCTTCCAAGATCAAGGGCAAGGTGTTTACTCCTGTCCTGGCCTGGGTTCTGGTTTATGAGTGACCACAAGCACTCTTTTCTGCCTTGAAACTGTGAGGAGGATTTCCTCTCCACCACCACCACCAGCTCCACCTTGTCAGCACTCCTCCTCACATCAGGATCGCTGCCCAGAACTGCGACTCAGATCCAAGCATGGGCAAAGCAAGAAAATCCTGTCTCAGTGCCAGCAAAGAGATCCCTGCAATCCCTCTCCGATCAGCCACTCCATCCTCCCCCCATCTGTGGGCAGAGAGCTCTAGAAGCAGTCACAGCCCTGGGGCTGCACCAGGACTGGGGCTGGACTAAGCTAAGCTCCTCTCTCACTCAGGTCCAACAAACCTTTCCTACCGACCTTCTAAGTTGTCTTTGGCATTTGTGGGTTGAGAAGTCTAGAAACTGCCACAGCTGCCCGTGATTTAGTTCCCTGAGGCCTGCTCCAGATTCGCTGAGGCCTGGTCTTTGCCTGTGTGCTCCTCTCCTAGCCCAGCACAATAGATCTTTCCCCTCAACCATCCAGGTTGTCTTCTGCTAGAAATTGTTTCACTCTGTCTTTTTGTGTGTTCTACTGCTCTAGAATTTGTTTAGAGCCATTTTTTTTACAGGTATTTGGAGGGGTTTGGGGGAGAGCTCAAGCAAGTCACTGCTTTTACTCTGACATCTTGGCTCCATCCCCAATTCATGAGTTCTTTAGAGACAAACTTGTTAATCTTCAAAAATCATGTTAATGGAATGACATTGTCATCTCACAAATCTACATTTTAAAAGTGAACTGAATTTTTATGGTCTTAAAATATTTCAGAGTAATGTTTTTTTCTTCTTTCAAGGATAAATATTTTGAGGTTACTTTAAAATATGGCCTTCCTGAATTATTTCACTTGAACCTCCACCTTCGTGATGGTTTCACTCCTAATTTATCTTCCTGACCTTCAAACAGTAGCTTCTATATGGCTTTGAAAATTAAATTATGTTCACTGCTGTGACATATAGCATTTAATAAGCCTTACTTAAGAATTAATTAAGTGGAGCAGTAGGAGAATATGTCAGCCTCTGAGAGTCATTTATAGTGCAGCATCAAGAAATGACAAGTTGGAAACAAAAGCTTACCTTTCAACTCTGCCTGAGTCATTTATTAAAGATGTGGGCTACTGAGTCCTTTCTACCTCAGATAGCAAACAGTAGGCCACACATCAGGAGGTTGGGCATAAGTCATTTCTCTCTCATGAGTGACACTTGAAGTTTGCTCCAAGGTTAAGGACAAAGTAAGCATTCCATACATGGGATTTATGTAGGATGTGGAAAGGAAAGAAGCACTAGAAAAAAGAAACAGCTTAGCAAAATGAAGAACCTGAGAATAGAGGTAACATTGGTGTTTCAATAATGGGTCATCAATTAAATATTCCTTTTCTGCTCTATGTACTAGAGCTGAGGACCTTTTTTCATTTTCTGCTACAATCAGGATGAGGCAAAAATTATATAGAAATTCAGTTAAATTAATTGAACATTTATTAAGTGCCTACTTCATGGGAGGTACTGTGCTAGGAAATGCCCACATCCCCACATGTTTTTGGTATTTTAAAATAATCCTAATATCCTATGCCCTAATTCTTATTTATATCCCTACTATCCAAAGTGGTTTCAGATTCATTTTGCAGTGGAAGGGTCTGTTATAAAGTTTCTGATTTATAAAGTCGATGTCAAACTCTGATTCTCAGACAAATTGTAGGGGAATTTAAAAAAATCAAGGATAAACTATGGAAGGATATATTATGGACTCATTAGCAATATACTGTTTTATAGCAAATGTATAAATTTAAATATTTCAAGTCTTTTCTTCCCATATAGAATACAGGTTTTCACAAAAATGCTATTAGGGATTATAACTAAGAATGACTCCTAATTAACATGAATGGGCTACCTTATTTATGTTTAAATATATGTGTGGCAAACATCAATGTGGATAAGTGTGTGCATATGTTTTCTAGTAGGCACAGGTTAGTTGTCTTTCAGGTTCAAGGGTGATGCTACATCTGATATAGGAGAAAGAAGTTCCAAACAAAGCACTCAATACAATTTGCTTTTTTCCTCAGAAATATGATACAATTTAATTTTAATATTAAAATGTCATATTTACTTCTATATTTGGGTAAAAGTGCCCATAAATGACTTGATACTTCCTTAAAGACTTTTGTGACATATGCTGAAGTTAACCATGCACCAAGCTCTCCTTTAATAGTCATCTGATGTCCAGAATGAAAATTTGTCATAGAGGCAGTGCAGGAGAAAGCCAAACACCTTTCTTAGTTTTTATAGCTTGGTTCATTTTACTTTGTGGTACCAATTATATATTATTGTGTAATACTGCCTAAGGTGGAAAAGAAAAATCTCTTTCTGTACACTTAAGCAAGAAGATTGAACATTTCTGAATCCCTTGCATAACTGCAAATGTTATCAATCACAAAATGTCAACAGGTTAATACAAAGCCCATTTGTACAAGGCATGACTAATTATTCTTTGTTAATCTTTTAAATATAGCCAACTATTTCCTGTTAAATCATTGAAAACACTCAGACAAAATCCTGAATGACTGTACCTGTGATTAGGTGTCTGTGATCAGCTGACGCCACTTCTGATGGGAGGAACTTTGTTTTAGGAAACAATTATACTATTTATTGCTTTTGGTAAGGATCTTAACCCTGCCCGCTTCCAAATTCAAATATTGTTTATTTTGGTTTCCAGATGCGGTCTGTGAGCAGAGTATTTAAATTCATTGATATGCCAAGTGAAGAACCCCTTCCTACCAAACCAAATAAACCGAAGAAAAACCAGCTTTCACAAGTTCTGATCATTGAGAATGAGCACGTAAAGAAAGAGAACAACTGGCCCTCTGGAGGTCAAATGACTGTCAAAGACCTCACAGCCAAATATGGAGATGGTGGGAATGCTATATTAGAGAACATTTCCTTCACAATAAGTTCTGGGCAAAGGGTGAGACTTAAAACATTTCTCATTTTATTTATCGTGTCATCAACTTTAATTTGGAATGGCTGATGGCAATATAAAAGGTATCCAACCTCTTTGTAACACCATTGTTGAAGGAGAGGACTAATACTAGACTAATAGATTAAACGGGCTATGCCTGTTAGACAATATAACTTAGTGAATAAAGAGATGACTTTGGAGTCAGGAAGATCTGTGTTCAAGTCCCTCCACTGACTTTTATTGGCAATGTGACCCTGAGCAAGTCACTCAACCTTTCAATGCGCCAGGCTATTCTGTAAAGGTATACACTGAAGAGCAGTTGGCAATATGCATGGGGAGATGGAGTTTGCTCTCTGGGGAGCTACTTATACAAGTGAAAATAAAGGTCCAGATACTCTTTCTTCCCTACAAAAAAATCTAATATGTATTTGATATAGTAATGTTATATAGGATGTGAAAATGCTAGTATATTTGAAGCTATCATGATTGGGTCCACTGATGTAAGTAACATCCCATCCTTGTGAAAACATTCGCCACTTAAAAGGTATTCCTCTCATGGTAAACCTTTCTGCTAATCCTCTGATGACAGATCTACACAATCCATTACTAGGTCCATGGGCAGCTAGGTGGTGCAGTAGATAGAGTGCCAGGACTGAATTCAGGACGTTCAATGAGTTCAAATCTGACCTTAGACACTTACTATCTCTGTGATCTTGGGCAAGTCATTTAACCCTGTTTGCTTCAGTTACTTTATCTGTAAAATGAGCTGAAGAAGGAAAGGGCAAACCACTCCAGTATCTTTGTCAAGAAACCGCAGATGGGCTCAAGAAGAGTTGAACATGACTGAAACAACTGAACAACAACACAAAGCCTTTTTAACTGGGTAGAAATTTCCATAATTCACACTCTATTAACACAGCTTTAGTGAGCCCAGGATTGCCCCTGTGCCACAATGAAACATAACAACAGAGTTTCAGTACAGGAGTCATCTCATAATTCAGTACTATTTTATTGGTTACTGAGCAATGAAATTTCTAAATAAACCACTGTCATAATGATATGTAGCCGATTAGCATCATCTAGAATTTCTAGCTCAGATGAGAGAAAGTAAATCTCTGTTGCCTCGATAAGGTCATAGATTTAGAACTGGAAAGAACTTTAAAGGGCATCCCCACCCTATCTCAGAGGGAGTGTGATATGTAGTAGATAGAATGCAGGACTTGAAGACAAGAATGCCTTGGCTCAAATGCTTCCTCAGACACTCACTAGTGATGTAGCCTTGGGAAAACCACTTAATCACTCTATGACTTAGTTTCCTTAACTGTAAAATGAAAAGTTGAAGTCATTGACTTCTAAGGTCTCTTTCAACTCTAAATCTGTGATCTAAGTATTTCTTTCTGGAACCTGTCTAACTTAAAACCTGCCAAACCTATACTATCTCCCTTTTGGGTGTTCCTCCCCCAATTTAAAAAAAAAAATAATGCTATTGACATCATATAACAGGTGTAGAACTATTAAAAGTATAATCAGAAATTGTCTATCACAAAGAAACATGTTGTAATTCATTGCTGTGCCCTGCTTCATGCCTAGTATAATACTTAGTAAACACACTGATTATTTCTTGAAGGGGCAATTTTGCCAAATTCAAAATGGAATGATGCTATGCCTTAAAATAGCCTATTCCAGAATCTCAGAATTTTAATAACAATAACAACAAAACTTAATGTCATTGAGTCTTATACATCAGTGGATCTAAGATCTCATTGGAGCGGGCACTATTTCCAGTAATACAAATACCAACCTGTCTATACCTTCTCATCTTGTGAAATTTCTGCCTAATCCTCTTAAGACACCTCCACACACTCACACACCCCATGTGCTGGAAACTTTCCTCTTGGTCTCTTAACATCATGTCAGTGATGACTTAACATCACATGTATATGGTATAGTCCATTTGTTGTTAAAATGACTGCTGCACTACCAAAGGAGCACTTTGGTGTGAAAACTGGATTACCTCACTTCTCACAGTGCTTTAGTTTCCTCTTGTAAAATGATGCCCACAGCATTTCTTTCAGGATAGTTGTTAGAGCTGTTGAGATGTTATTGAATGAAAAAAAAAAGTGTTATCATTGTCTTTTGCCCTGGAATTTTAGGAAACTTGATGAATGTGATTTAAGACAGATAATCTAGAAAGGAAGACAGATGTTGAACTACAAAGCCCTGTGAATCTGCACTAAAAATGGCTTTAGGGGAAGATTCGGGAATTTTTTACTTACTCCAGAGTTGGCAATCATGAGCTAGGCACTGGAGAAACAAAGATAAAAATGTCCCTGCTGTTAACAAGCTTACATGCTATGGGGAGAGACAACACGCATATGAAGCATAGACAATATAAGGTAATTTTGGAGGTGGAGACAAACTAATAGCTGGGGGAATCAGGAAAGACCTCATGTCAGAGGTGGTATTTGAGCTGAGCTTTCAAGGAAACTAGGGCTTCTAACAGGCAAAGTTGAGAAGGAAATCCATTCTGAACATGAGGGACAGCCTGGGTAATGGCATGGAGATGGGAGGTGGAATATCAAATGTGAGGAACCACAGGAGGTCAACGTTTGGTTGAACTGAAGACTGCCTGAAGGGGAGTAATATATAATAAAATTGGAGAAGTAGGTTGGAGCTAGGTTGTGAAGGACTTTAAATGCTATGCAGAGTAGTCTGTGTTTTATATTAGAGACAATAGAGGGCCACTTGAGTTTATTGAGCAGGGGAGTGACGTTGTCACACTTGGGCTTTAGCATTAGCCTTTGGTCAGAGTGTGGAGAATGAAATGGAAAAGGGAAAGACTTGAGGCAGGGAAATCAACTATTTGACTATCTTAGTTGTCCAAAGGAAATGGATACCCATATAGAGAATCCTGAACTAGGGCAGTGGTCCTGTGAGAAGAGAAGTGGACAGATGTAGAGGTAAGATCCATTCAACTTGGCAATTGAGTGGGTATGTGGTCTGGAGGAAGAATAAAGAGGTCTGGGGCTAGGAAGAGAGACTAGGGTTGGATATATAGATCTGCAGGGGGATCTTCATTTTGTTGTTGTTCAGTAGTTTCAGTCACATCCAACTCTTTATGACACTATTTGGACTTTTCTCGGCAAATGTACTGGAGTGGTTTGCCATTTCCTATTCCAGCTCATTTTACAGAAGAGGAAACTGAGGCAAATACTACTAAGTGGCTTACCCAGGGTCACATAGCTAGTTAGCATCAGCAAACAGATTTGAACTCCAGACTTTAGGCCCAGCACTCCAACGCTGCATCACGTAGCTGCCCTGGTCATCTTCAAAAAGATGATCATTGAGCCCATAGGAATTGATGAGTTAACTAAGAGAGAATACAGAGAGAGAAGAGATGTAGGCTGAGGGCAGAATCTTAAGATACATCTCAAGTTAGTAATTAAGATATGAATTATAATCCTATAAAAGAGACTGAAAAAGTAGTACTTGGATAAGTAGGAAGAGAACCAAGAGGGAGCAGTGCCCTTAAAACCCAAAGAGACTAGTAGATCAAGAAGATGTTGGTTTATAGATCAGATAATTATAATTTAGATATAATTATTTTTTCTTGGATATTGTCAACCCCTTTTCATTAAAAATATTATTCTATGGCAAGATATGTTTTCAAATGGACATCTTAGTGAAAGCTTTAGAATTTGGTCTTAATAGTTTTTCTTACATGTCAGTTTAATAAAGATAGAATCGCCGTTGATTCATAAGTTGCAAGTTCTCCCGTTACAATCATTTAGAGTCATTGTTTACTTCCAAAAATGATTGGGTTTTATATCATGGCATCATAGGATTTAAAGTTCAAAGGAATTTTAAGAATAATTTAGTCTACTCTCCTCCCCTCTCCTTTCATAGATGAGGCAAGTGAGACCCAAGGTAAAAGCCTTGCTCAAAATCAGGCACAGTAAACAACAGAGCCAAAATTCAAGTCCTGGGCCTCTGACTCCAAATACAGTGCTCTTGCTACAGTACCGAATTGCCATTCTAGGGCAGGAGGAACCTCAGTGAAGACCAATATTTTAGGAAAGAGGCAGGTCATACATTGGTTCTAGGAGTGTAAAAGACGAATGATTGTATTTATGCCTCACCCTTGATATTTGGGAATTCAGCAGCTTCCTGTTGAAAGGATAGTTCATTGTTTTGACTTGTTTTGTATGTAGGACTTGTCAGGCATGTGAAAGTATCTTTCTCTTTTCTGACACCTTGGATGATTTCCAAGATGACTGTCAAGAGATTGTGGATTATAATAACAAATGAACTTACATAAGTGAAGATAGGAAGCCTTGGCTAATGTCTTCATTGTTTTTTTCCCTTTCCCTGTCAAAACTCCATTACTTACCATCTCTGTTTCAAAATTGCTCATCTCCTTTCCCCTTCCCTCATAAGCAACTATGAAGCAGGCTTTTGTGATCTAACAAGCTAAAGGACAGAATCTTGATTTTCCCACTCAATTTTGGCAGTTTAAGAATAGGAATTCATACTGCAGGATTAGGGAACCTTTTTATTCTTAGTCTTACATGTTTTCTGAGTCATACTTAATATCATGTTAGTAAACCTATAGTGTGTGTGTGTGTGTGTGTGTGTGTGTGTGTGTGTGTAACTTTAGGGAGGTATCAATATACATTTTAAGGTTAAGTAGACAACTAAAATTCTAAGTTATGGAACAAGAGTTGATCTACATTGGTAGAGGGAGTCCTCTCACTGTGACTTCCCTACACCTGTAAAATCATGGGTCTGTACAGAAATGGTTTAGTCCTTCTTCTTGAAACAACATTTTAAAATGGGAATCTTATAAAAAGAGGCAAAGTAGTATAGTGGATAGGAGAGGTAGCCTCTGATGCTAGAAGAACAGGATTAAGACCTTCCTCTTATATACAATAGCTGTCTGGCTATGGGCCCAGCACTTAACCCTTCCATGTCCCAGACAACTCCCTAGAACTGTAAATTATACCAGAGCTACCCATCTCCATGTCTAAGGGTTTCCTTATCAGGAATATATCCTTATATTCAAACACCAATAAAATCCAGACTGGGGAAGCAGGGTTTTAGGGAGAACCCAGTGAACTTTGGCATGTTGGTAAAGATTAAAGAGATAAATGCATAAGAAAATTATGGTTTATTTGATCATCTTAGAATAGGTTTATAATATTTACACTAGATAAAAACTGCCCCTTTAAGGTTGTGGACATACTACCTATATTACTTTGTCTATAAATAGTGTCAATAGTACATAGGACCACTAATTCATGATGATTTCATTGTATTAATTATACAAAGTCTAAATCTCACTAAATCTTAGTTGATGAATATGTTTGTCTTTCTGTTGCCAAGTTTTCTTATTAAAAGAAAAAGAACAGAGGTGATAAGTTATAATATCGAAGTTACCTTCTCTGAACCAGAATTTTTTTCTCTGCTCCCTTTCTTCTAACAGTATAGTTTTAAAAATTAAGAAATAAATTTAAACTCTAAACTTAAACTTAATTGTGGGACTGGTTTTGAATGGAAAATCAAATCCTGACCTTCTGGAAATGATGAATATCACCATCGGGTGTACAGACAAGTGAATTAAATAGTCACTTAATAGTTGTCCAAGTCTCATTCCTTTGGGTGAACTTGGCTACCTTCATTTGTATTTCTACATGTACAAAGGGGAAATTGCTCACAAATATAGATTTTTCCCCCCTGGGCAGACTGACCCAGTCAGATGATAGAAGAATACTGGATGTGATGCCAAAAATAATAGGTCTCTAGCTTAGGTGTTCAGATTATAGCAGCATGAACATTTAAATGCCACTTGATTTGTAAAGAATACGTAGGTAATCTGTCTTTGCTAAAGAAAAAGGTGATGTAGCTGAAATGAATGTATTACACCTGTTTGGGCAGTATTCCCCAGGGCTACTACATTTTTATGTCCAAACTGTAGAAAAAGATGAGCATAATATGCAGAAGACTTATTTTTTCCTACTATGAGGAATCTTATTTTCTTTCATTGTGCCATCCCTTGAAAAGGATAAGAGACTGAAAAATATTTGTCAGCTACAGTGAGATTAAAAAAGTAAACTAGAAGGAATGTGTTGAAACTCATTTACTTATGGTAGCTTTCAAAATGGCACCAAATCCATGTTTATTTAGAGCTCCAAAAAAACTTTGATTTCTTTGTCAAAATTATTAGAGAGTAGGCAAAATTTTATTAAAAAGAGCCATTGACTTGAAAATAGAACTGGATTCAAGTCCCAGGCCTACTGCTTAAGCCACAGTTTCTTTATCTGGACAATTATTGTCGTTCAGTAATTTCAGTCATGCCCAACTCTCATGAGTATATTTTAGTAACCTTCTTATCCTCATTTTACTGATGAGTAAAGTGAGGCAAATAGAAATGATCCAACTTGACCATGGCCACATGGGTAGTAAATTTCAAAGTCAGGTTTTGAACTTGGACCTTCTTCATACCAAATCCAGCACTTTATCTATTATACCATGCTGCCTCTTTTAACTATGAAAAAGTTTATAAATATAAGTTAATAAGGTAAAGAAACTATTATTATAGTGAGAATATTAGAAAACACTCACTTGGGATGTTTAAATCTCAAAAGATAACTTGCAATCAAATGCTCTGATGTTGTATACCCAGTCAGTATGCTGCTTAAAAAAAGCAAATTCCAGAAAAGAGTTTTTACGTGCCAATTAGGTAAGGAATAAGAAGTCTTGGTTAGGCATAACCAAATGCAGTTCTTTATTCCCAGAAAATCTGTTCATCTTAATGCATTATCAGACAATGAGTAGGGTAGAGAAGACAGAGCAATAGCTCTTAAATGCAGGACTTTGTGTCAATCAACACACTTTCCTTAAGCATCTACTATGTGCCAGCCACTGTGCTAGGTGCTAGGAATGCAAATATAGTGAATGAAACAGTCTCTACTTTCAGAGAGCTTACATTCTAATAGAAGAGACAAGGACTGAAGAACATGGAGAATCAATATGAAGAGAATATATGTAATGTAGTTAAAGTAGGGAAGCTAAATGGTATAGTGGATAGGGTTGGAGGCCTGGAGTTGGGAAGACCCAACTTTGTAAGTTCAAGTCTGGCCTGAGATACTTCCTATCTTTGTTACTCTGGGCAAGTCACTTTACCCTGTTTGCCTCAGTTTCCTCATCTTTAAAGTGAACTGAAGAAGGAAATGGCAAACCACTCTAGTGTTTTGCCAAGAAAAACCCAAATGGGGTCACAAGGAGTCTGAAATGACTGAAAATGACTGGACAACAACAACAAAGTTAAATCTCAGTAGTTTAAGAAGGGCTCAGGAAAGGTATGATGTGGTAGTGCTTATACACTCATGCTATTCTCTCATCCCTGCCTCTTCCTAAGAAGAGCAGGGAAAGACTTGAGGTCTGACTGTGACAGTATTTTGGTGTGATTCCTGAAGATGCTACCATTTGTGGCCGACAAAATGAGAACATGGTCCTTTGTCCTCGATAGATTAGAATGTGAGGTTAGGATTTAGGAATGCTAAATTCCAGCCTCTCCTTAACCAACAGATCTTGATTTGAGTGATCACTTCTGTCTATGAGATTTGGGGCTTCCTCATCTGTAAAGGGAAGATCCAGGTTAATTGTACAGAGATGTGAACATATTGACTGAAAGAATGTGATGTGAGTGGAACCTACCATGATCTAGTGATCAAAGCATTATTAGTCCAATTGAAGCATTAGTCTGCATAGTTGACCATGTAGCTCATATCGGTTATTGGTGGAATTGTTTGGGTTTTTAGGACAGCAGAAAAACAGAAAAAAAAGTTTGGTTGGTCTCATCATTTCAGGGAGTAACTGATAATGCACTGAAAAGGACGTTATACTGCCATTATGAGAGCTGGAAAAGGCAATGTTATCATTCTCCCCAAATCCTTAGCTTCTTTCAGAGTATAGCTTAGGTGGCCCCTTCTACTCTAGGCCACTTCTGATCCCTGCAATGTTAGCACTCTCTACCTTTTGAAATTATTTTGTATACGTGCTGTACTTACAAGTAATGTTACTTCCCCTGGTAGAACGAAAACACTTTGAGGGCAGTACACATGTTGTAGTATATATGTAGTATATATGCATATATACTGTTGTATATAGTATAGCATATATATTGTAGTATATACAGTAGTATATACTGCACATACACCTATACAACACACACAATAGTGTATATAGCACACATGTGTACAGTAGTATATACCGCACAAACACACACACACACTTTGTTAACATATATGTTATACTTATTTGTATACATGTTGTTTCCCTCAGTAGAATGAAAACTCTTCGGGAGAAGGGACTATTTTTGTTCTTATATCCCCACTACTTCACATGTAGTAGTATGTACATTGTTGTATATACAACATGTGTATATAACTATATATGTTGTACTTATATGTATAGATATTGCTTCCCCAAGTAGAATGGAAGCTTTCTGAGAACATGTATAGTTTTACTTTTATCCTTGTGTCCCCAGTCCTTTGCATGTAGTAGTAAGTACTTTAAAACATTTGTTGAATTGAATCATCCCTTTAAATGTAACAGTTGATCTTGTTAGTCAGACCAAGAAACCCTAGTCTGTTAAAAATGCTTTCATAGGCTCATTCAATAAAGTGAACTGTAACACTCTTTTTGCTTCTCCTTAATGATATGTATTTTTTTCTTGGTTCAGTGATTTCAAGGTTATATTACTTTGGTTATTTGTAAAAGTTGTTATATAGCAACAGTTAACTCAGTAATGCTAGTATGATCAAGGTTTTAGGTTCCATACTCTTGTAGACCAGTTAGCCTCTGCTTCATGATCATTGGATGCCAGTCAGCCTTTTCAATATAAACACTGCTCACAGTTGAGGAATGAGCAAGAAGATATACAGAAATCAATACCAGTCTATCCTTTAGACTGTAAAAAGAACTCAACAAGTGGACTCTTGTAATGATGGCAATATTTTTCTATATGAAATTTATAGTACAATATCACATTCAATTTATTGATGCTTGTAAATAACAGGAGTTATTTAAAACTAACTTCTAACTCCCTACCCCTTTTATTTTATAGGTGGGCCTCTTGGGAAGAACTGGTTCTGGAAAAAGCACCTTGTTAGCAGCTTTTTTAAGATTATTGAACACAAAAGGAGACATACAGATTGATGGTGTATCTTGGGATTCAGTACCCTTGCAGCAGTGGAGAAAGGCATTTGGTGTAATACCACAGGTAAGAATGGCAGAATTAGCAAAAATTCAAAATTTTAATGAAAATTTTTGTTGCCAGGGCCAATTCTCTATCATTCATTATGTATCAATTGTGACCTCTTCAAGGGAATGTCCTGTAGGCACCACAAATTCATCGTGGGCAGACCAGAACTCATCATCTCCTTCCTCTCCTCACACTCTTCCATGCTCTTAATGTCCCTATTTCTGATGAAGACACCATGATCTTGGCCAGTCACCCAGGTTTACAACTTCAAAATCATCCTTGATTCCTTCCTTTTTTTTCACCCTTCACATCCAATTATTTACCAAGTCTCACTGACCCAACCTCTGCTGTGTTTATCACAAACTTCCGCTGTTCTCCATTCACATGCCACCACCCTAGTTCAGACTCTCATCCCCTTCTGCACTTACTGCAGTTGCTTCTTCAGTCATCTCCCTGCACAGTCTCTCCCTTCTCTAGGTCTCTCCTCCTCTCAGTTTTCAAATTGATATTTCCAAAGCCGAGGTCTGACTATGTCACTCCTTAGCCAAAGAATTTCTCGACTTTCCTTCTTGCCTCTTCCATCTGACTTTTAAAGGCCATCTGGTCCCAGCCTACCTTTCCATGCTCATTGTACATTGCTGTCTTTCACACACTTCCAATCAAACTGACCTACTATGCTATTTCCTGTATGTGACAGTCTGCCTCTAGCCTGCATGCCTTTGCATTGGCTATTGCCCATACCTGGAATGTACTTATACCTCACCTCTCCCTCTTAGAATAGCTAGCTTCAGAATTAGTAGCTTACCTAAGTGCCACCAATACGGGAAGCCTGCCTTGACCCCTCACTAGATGCTAGTGCCTTTCCCCAAGAACTTACTTCCTTCTTAAAAAAATGGATATTTTGTATTTAATTTTCTGTATGCATGTTATTTTAACTTAGAATAGAATGTTAGCTCCTTGAGGCCAGGGATTGTTTTATTTTTGTCTTCATATTCCCATAGTAGGGGCACATAGTAGGCCTAATAAATGTTACCTGCTGAATGTCTATAGTATGATTTACATTTAATCCAGAACACATTTGTTAATTTTTCCGTTCTTATAAATTGTATTTTTTCCCTAGGAAAACACTTTTTTAGGTGTTTGTAACACTCTGTGAGAAATGGTTATTACCATGTCATTAATTGTTTTGATTACATTTCTTAGCTGACATATTCATCAGCTGGAGCATGCTTACCACTTTTTTTCTTCCACATTTTTCCCTGCTCCAGTGCGCTAAGCACCATGTTAGCAATCACAACAGGATGACAAATAAGAGATGCTACTGAAATAACAAACATTTGGGAGAAGTATTAGGACACGAAGCAGTGGAATTGAAAATAAAAAGTGTAATGATTGTTTTTTGTTCCTAGAATAGAGTGAACCATGTCAGAATAATCTGTAGCTAGTTTTAAAATGTCATTCTTTGATTTGGGTCATAAAACATTACTAATATGATACTACTTTGTACATTATTATGCAAGAACAAGAGTTTTAAGTATGTGTGTTTCTGCATGTGAATGAGGGAGAATTTTATCAGTTGCTCATTTAAAATAAAAGTTAAATGAAAACAATGGTGCTTGCAAACTAGACATGACTGGCCCCAATCTAGGTGACTTTTGCAAATTAGATGTAACTGACCCCAAATCTGGATAATTTTTGCAATTAGTTTCTTTCCCCATTCCCCACCTCTGCTTTTATATCTTTAATACATTTACCAGGGATGAAATAAATGTAATCTCTCATGATATCCTAACTGTTTTAATATATGTTCATCATCATCATCTGTTTGTACTAATAATTCGCTGAACACATATTGCTGTCTGGGCTTATTTTAGTGCTTTTCAGCCTGGTCCTTCATCTTTCAGTTAGAAAATAAAATTTGTAAGCCAGGAGGAGCTAAAAGAAGTTGGATTCCAAATCCAGATGGAGAAGAAAATTGTATTACTTACCAAAATAACTTTTATGAACAGTTCTTTTAGATATTAAAACTCTCTAGACTGATATTTTCAATTCTTTTCCCCATACTTTTGTCATCTGCTAAAAACCTGGTCTTAGTTTTAGGTGAAAAATGTAATTTATTCTGATGGAAAAAGAAAAGATTTTCAAATTCCCTGATAGCAAAAAATTCTGAAGAATAAAAATGCAAAAGGAACAAGCTTGAGAGCAATAGCGATGACAAAAGAAAAGTACAGAACACTGGAGACTAGAATCTGGTTAGCTGAGGACATTTACTGTTAAGTTTTTGTTGTTTCTTGTCTGCTTCCCTGCTATAAAGCAAACTCTTCTAACTAATATAGGAAAGCCTTGCTTTGTTGTGGTGTCACTTATGTAGAGATCATAGGATTATAGATCTGGAAGGGACTTGGAGGACCTTCTAGTTCAACTCCTTCATTTTACAGATAAGGAAACTGAGGACCAGAGATGTAAACTGACTTGCTCCAAATCATGTAGTTAAGGAGCAAATCCGAGAACAGATTCTAGGTTTCATTAGTCCTTGCCCTGTGACCTTTCTGCTCCACCAAGACAATTCTCTTTAGGAAGCAGTCTGACGTGGTGGGTAGAAAGCTGGTCTCAGAGTCAGGAAGGCCTGGATTCCACTGCCATCTCTGACAAACGCTGGATGGGATGTGGGACCATGGCTCTCTAAGACTAGAGATTGCAGACAATCTGCTCGTGCATCTTGTTTGAATTTTTCTTCACCGAGAGTTCTCAAAGCTCAGGAAATCACAGGTCTGGACTTTCCCCACTCCCCCCAAAATTCTTGCTCATCCCCCAAAGTAAATCTTTTAAAAACTATGCTTATTTCAACTCTCTCCCCACAGGAGAGCTACAGACCTCATGTTCTGCATGACAAAATGTTCTTTTTTCCACTTCATCACCATTTCTGTAGTTGGTGAACTACCAGATACCTCTCCCCATACCTATCTTTTCTTTGACTTTGGTTCTGAGAGACCTGAACCCCAGAGTCACAGATGGACCACTTCCCAGAAAGTTCTGACATTCTTCAGAAATGCCCATTATGTAGCAGAATGAACCCTAAGGAGAAAACAACAACAATAACAACAGAACATCCCCACATATCTTTGCTATCTAAACAAAGAGATGTTTTTATTTTCCTAACCTTTCTCTGTGACTTCTGATTGTCATTGTTTAAAAGCTTCCTGGAATTCAAGTTATAAAAAGAGAATCCCAAAATTCTAGTAGAAAAGTTTTTTTTTTTAATTTACTACATGCTTATCATTTTTCTTCCAACTCCCCTCTTCCTAACCCATGAAAGATAAAAGTTTATTAAGATATCTATCATTAGTGATCTCAGGGAAATCAAGGTTAGATGATCAAAGACCTAGGAGACTTGACTGTGACACTCCCCTTCTCCTTTAGGCAGCAACTTAGATTTCATATTACAACAGGTAAAATCACAATAGGCAATTTATTTTTGGCAAATTCTGCTGTGCCTTATGCTCCTACATCTTTCAGTCCTAGCTACATTAGGCTGTTTTCCTTTCTTCTAAGGAGCTGGACAGCACCCATGGAGAATATAATAATTGAGGAGGTAGGGCAGGGTGAGCAATTCAAAGCAGAAACTGCCTCTGAACGTTGCATTGATCTCAGGAGGAGCTTTGTAAAGGAAGGAAGAGGTATCAGGAAATCATGAGACTAGCATCCAAAACCAACACTTATTATCCACAGTTCTTATTAAATAAATAGCCTTTTCTTTTTTTATCTTTCAACGGGTATTTATTTTCCCTCCCTCTTTTTTCTTCCAACCCCACTGCCCTACCATTGGGGGAAAAAAGACAAAACTTATGACAAATATGCAAATATCCAGTTAAGTCAAACAAATGGCCACGTCTAAAAATATATGTTACATTGTGTACTTTGACTCTATCATCTATCAGGAAGTAGAATCATGAATCATTGGTCTAATGGAGTTGTGACTGTTCTTTACATTGATTGGAGTTCTTAAGTCATTCAAAGTTGTTTGTCTTTAAATGTTATTATTATTATTATTATTATTATTATTATACAAATTGTTCTGATTCTCTTCACTTTTCTCCACATCAGTTCATATAAAAATTCCCAGGCTTCGGGACAGCTGGGTGGCACAGTGGATAGAGCACCAGCCCTGGATTCAGGAGGATCTGAGCTCAAATCTGGCCTCAGACACATAACACTTACTAGCTGTGACCCTGGGCAAGTCATTTAACCCCATTGCCTAAGCCAGAAAAAAAAATTCCCAGGCTTCTCTGAAAGCATCCTTTCTGTCATGTCAACGAGAGGATTCTATTATATTCATATATCATAATTTATTCAGTTATTCCTCTCCCTCCTCCCCCAATGATGGACACCCTTTAGTTTCCAATTCTTTGCTACAAAATAACTACTATGGATATATGTTTTTAACTTTTGGTTCCTTTTTCTCTTTCTCTGATCATTTTGATGTCTGTAAATTTCTTGAGGCTAAGGGCTATTTTTACCTTTCTTTGTATAACCAGAACTTAACACAGAGCCTAGAACATAATAATCATTTAATAAATCTTTTTGGATTAGTTAATTGATATAGTTTGACAGTCCTGTTCTTTTTCCTTTAAAAAAAAAGTTGAATATTCATCTTCTCTACTACTACATTCCTTCTTTTATTTTCCTATGATCTTTAAAGGATTTCTCAGAAATTACATCAGCCTATTCTTTTAGTAGCCTAGGATGAAGTTCAATTTGGGTTGGTGATGAACTCATCACAGGTAGAAATAAACTCTTTTACTATCTTTCTACTTGTATTGGCTATCCAGCCTCTACTAGCCGTTTCTGTTCTTTTCTTTCCAATGTAAGAATTGTTCTGCTTGGCCAAGTAAACAAAAGCAAAATAAAAGCTGCTCTGTCATCTCTTCATCATCTATTATCATCATCCCATCTCTCTTTCATTCTTTGATCCTTCTTTCATTTCTATACTTCAGCAAACTGTACAGATCATTTATTTG